GTGTAATTGTTATGGATAATGCCAGCTACCATATAAAACAAATCAATAAACCGCCTATAATGTCTAATACCAAAGCAGATATCCGTAAATGGCTTGTAAATAATGGAATACATTTTGAGGAATATCAGACAAAGGCAGAGTTAATGTGTTTGGTTAATGATAAGAAAACATTGCCTGTATATGAAGCTGAAGAGATTTTAAAAGAACATAATCATGAACTTTTATTGCTGCCACCGTATCATTGTGACTTAAACCCAATAGAGATGGTTTGGAGTCAAGCAAAAAGAAAAATTGCAAGCAGAAACATTGGAATACCAGGAAAGGAAATGGAAAACTTTATAATAGAGTGTTTTAACTTAATTACCCCTAGTGACTGGAAGAAATACACTGATCATGTTTTAAATGTCGAAAATGATTACAAATTAAAAGATGGCATTGTTGAAAACGAACTTGAAAAATTTATTATATCTGTTGGTGCAGACAGTAGTGAAGAGAGTGACTCTGATGATTCCTTGTCATTGTTATCAGGTGTAGAATATTTAGAAACAGATTTTGACTATGAATCAGACTAAAGTATTTTTAGTCTGATTCATAGTCAAAATCTTATCTTAAATTTTCTATTGTGATTAACATGATGATTTTGTGACACCTGTATTATGTAATTTATCCATGGCACTTAATTGTAACAAAAATAAATGTTTTTTTTATTGTAATCTGGTGTTTATATTGACTAATTTAATTTGATAGATAGTGGTTCTGGATCAGAGCAAAAGGTTGTGATGAAAATCCCTTAGGAGACATGTATGTGTTATGAACACATTATAAATATAAGGGCCAGAAATCAAAATTGGCTAACATCACATTTATTAAAAAAATGTGGCCAGAGTCGCCCATATTCATTACAAAAAAACAAGAGTCGCCCATATTCATTACAAAAAAACAAGAGTCGCCCATATTCATTACAAAAAAACAAAGAAGTCGTTGCAAAAAACACCCTTTTAATTAATGACAAATATGAATTTTTAATATTATAAGTGCTGTTAGCCAATAGGTATAACGAATGGGTTAAAAAAAAGATTCGATTTAGTCCGTCAGTCAGATAATAGAAAAATATTGGATACGTATTTTTTTTCGCTTTAATTTAACAACAAATGGCTTAAGAGGTACTATGCGACGACTTCAAATATGCTTTGCAACAATGTTACTTTAATACAGTTTATCGATACGAAATCAAGTGTCAAAATGGAGTCCAGTGGAGAATGCCGATATTGACATTTCGAAATTGCTCATCATTGATAGAGAATACGAAATAGTGATTTTGACACAATCAAAGTGTCTATTTTTTACGGTGATGACGATTCTTGGTTGTCAGTTGAGTTAGTGAATAGGCCTACTGATATGCTGTTAACTGTACAATTAAGAACAGTCACGCTTTAGTCAAATGTTCCAAAACAAATAATTTTAATTGATATCTAAATGTTAAGATTAAATATAATTAATAAAAGTATCAAAATTATTTTGCAGTACTACATTCAGTGTTTACTGCTTAAGAATTTTTGAAATTGCCGCCCTTTTCTTGTGACACGTTTCGCTTGCCAGTGTTACCAGCGTATGATGGCGCTTCCCACGGGTAAAAGATTATTCGTATTCCAAATTTTCATCAAAAATCCGTTCAGTAATTTTTACATGAGATTACCAACATCCATCCTCACAAACTTTCACATTTATATTATTTAATAATATAATTTTATAATATGATTAGACCTCGATAAATATGTTTCTTTTTTCCTCTAATATAGCCAATTTTACATAGTTTTAAGAACTATAGTACCAAAATATATATCTTAAAAGTTTTACAATAATATCAATCGTGTTTTATAATTATTTCCATATATATTGTCAAGTTGACATTTTGCAATTATAATTAAATAGTTTTTTTAACATAAGTTTAATTTTGCATGCAAGTGTGAATACTGTCCAAGATAACTACCACGGTAACTATAATAAGCTTTTAATGAGTCGATTGACGAATGAATTATTATGCTTTTTTTTTGTCTGTTATATATTTTTTATTGTTTTGGTGGAAAGTGACATTTTGGTCTAATGAAGTCATTTTTTATTTTTCAGTACGAAATTAAACAGGGTGCAAAAGCAGCCCTTGCAGTTTCTTACCGGTTCCTTTCTTACAGTTTCTTCTTTTCTCGGTACAAGGTTTCCCGTAATAGATTGCTGAACTATAAGCACAGAGTTTCGACTTTCTTATATGCTTGAACTAGTAAGCCAACTTGTCTATAAATTTATTCAATAAATTGTTTTGACTGAATAAATTTCGCTTCCTCCTCATTAAGTGAGATACCGTGCGTACTGTGTCACAATTTTAGTTCAGAACATCTTGTTTAGTAGTAAACATAGAAAACTTGAAACACCTACATAATCTTTGTATTATATTATTGGTAAAAGAACATAAAAATACTGTAAACTTTGATGAATAAACAAGAGAAAATAAAGAAAACAAAGTTGGTGATGAATAAGTAACAATTGGCATAACAGTAACATTATTAAAGAAGTAACAATTGGCATTTTATTTAAAAATTTGGTTAGCAAGAAGAAAACAGCCGATTAATCAATAGGCAAGCATACAAATATTTTCTCAGCACTAAAACAGTCTGCAATTCATGTTCTGTGAACAATCATGATAGCGGTCAGCAATTTAAATTCAAAAAGGTAGCGTATTTTATGATGCATCAGCAAAATAAACATCCACGCCACAAAATAATTATTTGGGTATTAAGATTATACTATTGAACAGCAAAGAAAACCTTTAACTATGCCTTTAATTTGATAAGTGTGCATATTTTAATTTTTATTAAAATTATTTAACTCATTTTATTGTATATTTTACTGGGAGTATATTATGATCAGAATTTTATATTTTAATATTATTATATATTACATTCTGATTTTTTTCAATTAAAATAGTCGTCATATGACCGCAAGACTAAAAATAAGGTACATTTATAGAATAACAAAAATGACTATATAAAAAACTAAATAAATAAATCAGTAAAATCAAATGAAAATTAACTAAGTGTAATAGACATTTTTTTTTTAAATAAGTTAAAAGCAATTGTCAAAAATTCTTACCAGAGTATTTGATTGGCAATGCATCATCTCGTAATTTTATTATATTTAAAGTTCGATTCAAACAACTTTCCCTAAAATGAAGTGAGCAGATAAAAGTAACTTTTTCATTACATTTAATATTTTCTGCTTCTATGTAACTCGGCCATTTTCCTCTTTTGTTTCATCTTTTGATAATCTAAAATAATTAATATATTTTTAAATATTAAAATTATCGATATAAACCATATGTTAAAGTAACAACGCTAGCCATGTAAACAATATTATTTACGGACCGAAATATTATAAAAATATAAACGAAAAGAGCAATATAGCATAAATAGAACACGCCAAAATACGATATGTATCGATTTATACACGCAATCATTTTCAGAATAACTTACTTACGTTTTAAATACTGTTATTCCAAGAAAGTGTTTAACTTACCGGTGAAACGTAATATTGCTCGGTTTGCGGGATATTGATGACGCACAACCAATTATACAGCACCTAGGCATTGTTTTGCATAAATAATTTACAATTTTCTGCCATGAAAGTTATATAAATTAAGGTTATACATGAAAATAACCACAAAACTTATAACACTGACAGCTGAACTACTTCCGAGAACACGCACAGCAAATTTGCAAATGGCTGACAGGTGGTACGATAGCTATATCTCATGACGTCACGTAAAAAATTTTGAACTGTCACACTAGTGTTATCTTTGTTTACTAAAGAAATTTCTTATTAGTTAAAAAAAGACAAGATGATGTTTTTGATGTCAACTTCAGATTGCATGATATTTATATAACCATAGAAAATATTTCCACTCTACCTTACTCTAACCTTGTGGTGCTTAACAGTGCTGCCATATATACAGATTTCGCCAGTCCTGTTATGTCAGTGGTTAGAGCAATCACCCAGATCGCAAAAAGTCGTGGGTTTGGGTCCCGTCTCAGAGTTCTTGATTTTTCCATGACAACCCTTCCGATTTTCTTTCTTTAAAAGTAAATGAGGAAGTATAAAAAAAAAATTAGTTCCCGAAATCAAACTAGATGTCGCTAAAGTACGTTCTTGATTTCTCTATGACAACCCTTCCGGTTTTCTTTCATGTATAAAAGTAAATTACTTTTCAAAACTAAATAAACAACTCATATTCTATTTGTACTTTTTCGTATTTGTATTGATATCTAAGTTTCAAACTTTTCCAATTTCAGTTTTTTAATATTGAACTTTTGCTAGAGTCGCCATCTAGTATATGGTGCTTTCATTTTATTTTTAAATACTTTCTCATAGTATATCTATAACTGAGATGTAATGTAAAATACTCAATTCTAGAACTCATGTCAGCTTCTTTCGACGAAATACATAAATGACAGAAAATTTGTCTGATCGTGAATGTGCTACTTGTTTGGCGTTCATCTATTGGACTTAAGTCATTTGATTTGGAGTCGTGATCATGAATCATGAAACCTTAAGATCCGGGATGCTTACCATACAGGGAAAAAGTGTATCGTGTAGGGATTGATTGACGACGCATTTCTGATATTAGAATAACCTTTATAATACATAATACTGTTTAACGTATTTAGGCTATTATCGCTTGCTCGAGACTATTTTGGTTATACTATGTAAATACTAAGTGCTTACACCGTCCCTAGGAATTTTATTTCTGAACGTGATACTGTCAAATAAATGACTTTTGTCATGTTGGAACTCTGAATTCATATCGAAGTTTGGTTGTAAATTCGTGTTGTTTCGGGAAAATTTATACCAAATATAATGATATTTATTTAAAAACAGCTCTAATGTGGCTTTATCCAATATTTAGATAGTGATTTTAATAAAGTTTAGTGGAATTGATGTTATAAGTTAAAATGTCTCGTAATAGATGCGACGGATTATTAGCCCGAGTAGATTTTCCTCTCTACACCCTTCAAACGCTTACAAATAGACATGTAATCGTAGCAGGTGGTGGAGGTGCTTCAAATACGGGTGTGCATAATGGATTCGTAAGTATTGAAGGAGTTATTTTCTGTAAAATTTAATGAATTAATCAGTGTATCCGCATACGTGTCAGACTATGTTACTGATGCAAAACGAATGCATTACCGCATAAATTATAGTGTTGAGGGGATTGTTTATAGGAAATATTTGAGCTCTCGCACAATGGAACCAGATTTGTGGCTGAAGAGGTGATGCGACATGAAACTGGCCCAAATGTAGTGATGACCTGTGCTGTGCGCAACCTACAGAACCGGACATACTTGACAGCGGGTCAGGAGAGTCACTGCCAGTTATATAAAATAAATATGAAAATGGTTGATGCAGCTGAAATGAGGAGAGGTAGTTTTCGTGCTGAAAATGGACTTGTGAGAAGAAGAAGACGTACGGTTTCTGAAAATGACAATATCTCAAAGACAGACCGAAATAGCAATACTATGGAGAAAAGAATATCATTTGAAATAAGGCCCTGTGATAGTGTACAAACAGATTTCAGGTAATATTCTTTTGTAATGGTTGTTTATTTATGTATAGTTTCTATTCAATGCAAACAAAGATACACACAATAAAATCTTATTATATGATAATGGCAATTTTGTTGAGAATATTATGATAAACAAGAATCCTATTAATGTTTATAAATGTGAAAGCTTATTTGTTTGGATGTTTGGATATTTGGAACTTGTCCGTCAATCACACCGTAACTACTGAATGGATTTTGATGAAATTTGGTATACAGATAGGGTATTAGCTGACTTAGATAATAGGATACTTTTTATCCCACTAAACATTTCCCTAGAGTCCATGCGGGTGAAGCCACTGGCGAAAGCTGGTTATGAAATAATTTTACAGCCCCATTATCATTATAAATCATGTGTTTTTTTTCAGTGACGACCCCTTGTTACGTGTGGTGAGGGTCAGTCATAATGGCAAGTTGATGGCAACTGGTGGCTTTGACACAAAAGTGAGGGTTTGGTCATTCCCTAAAATGGAACTGCTATATGTTCTGGAAGGTCATTCTAAAGAGGTAAATGCTTATTTTTCGTTATTAAAACACAATATTAATGCCTATAATACTTCAAGAGGAGTTTAATGGCATCATGGTTAGAGGGTTCAGTCTGCAAGGTTAAGCAGATTTTGCCGGAATTGGTCTTGGCTTGTTTTCTTTGATATAACTGTCCCAGCAATGGAAATGGCAATTGACTAAGAGAGAATCAAAATGGGCTTTATTCAAATGTATATTTTGGTTGTTTTTAATTGAAAGTAAAATTATTGTAAAAATGTATAATTTTATGCATTACATAATGTGAATTTATAATATATGTTACATAATGAAATATGCTTATATCTCTACTTTGTCTCTGGCACTCTGAGATCAAACTTGAACCCACAACATTTTGCAATCCAGGCGACTGCTCCAACTACTGAGCTATCTAGGACCTAGCAGCACAGTCGAATTTTTCAAGCACTTGTTACTTTTTTGCTACTACAGCATATTTCATTGAGAATATTTTTCAGTAGTAGAAATATGATTTACATTTTTTTTATTCTAGTACATTAAATTCGATATACTATTACACTATTAAAACTAGTTCTGAAATTAAATTATATTAACATGAAGCTTATATGAGAAACATTGTATTGATACTTTTACTATAGTATAACATTATGTTGTTGTTCTATCTAGCTTGACGATTTGGACTTTAGCCCGTGTGACAAGCAGCTAGTGAGTATAGGCAAAGACGGGCAGGCGCTGGTGTGGTCCATGACTGGTGCGCGGGAGCCGCTATTAAAGATCACTTGCCAACCGCCCAATGGAAACAAATATCTCTTCCGAAGGTGTAGGTCAGTCACAATATTACTTGTGTTATTCTAGTACTAGAATTAAATTGTTAACTATAGTTTTAGTGTCTAATTTTATTTCAAGCTTATTTGAGACAAAATTGAATTTACACTGCCTTTTACACAATAGTGAAAAAAGAGGCACTATGAACTTATGAACCTGTCTGCGTGGAATTATATGAATATTGAATAAATATTTTTTTTCTTTATAAATAAATAAAAAAACATATATAGATAGATTTCTTTTGTATTTTCAATGACATAAAAAGTGCAAACGCAAAACTAATTTAGACAGAACATAAAATAAAATTCTGGTCCTTCAGAGTTCCTTTAGAAAACGTCTTGCAAACAAGCGAGATGATTGTTGTTTGTCGGGATGTGTCAGTTTTTGATGTCGGCCAACGTTGATACGGATGGTTAGGTTCGGCATGGTGGAGGACAGAGAGGGCGAGCACCGCATGTTCAGTATCGCGAACCCCCTGTCGCGGTCGGGGCGGCAGCGCGGGCTGCTGCAGGCGTGGGACAGCGCGGGGCGGCTCGTGCGCGTGCGCGCCGCGGGGGAGGCGCTGTCCGCGCTCGCCGTGCGCGACGACGGCCGCTACGTGGGCGTCGGCACCATGTACAGCGGCTCCGTCGATATATACGTCGCCTTCAGTCTGCAGGTGAATCTTCTGTGTTACAGGCGGCCATCGTTGCAACTACCAAGTGGTTTTGTACAGATATATAACGGCCAAATTAGCTGAAATTCAAAATTGGAAAAGTGCTCAGTCGTTAGGGTTTGGACCCGAGCAAAATGTGATTTTGTAAAATAGTATCTTATAAGATTAAAAGTGGTTTTTTGTGTGCGGGCGTGACTTGAAACACGACCATTTTTAAATTAAAATAAACAGTTACAAAAATTCTTTCAAATAGAGTACAATACCCTATTGCCTGCTATGTTATAGAAAAATTACATAATATATGGCTTTGCCGATTATGATGGCTTAATAATGGATTGTCTATATCGAAGCTAGAGGAATATATTGCGTGTTTTGCAGCGGGTGCTCCACGTGAAGAACGCCCACATGATGTTCGTGACGGGCCTGGAGTTCCTGCCGGTGCGGGGCCGCGGGCCCGGCCTGCACAGCCGCTCGGACGCCGCGCTCCTCTCCATCTCCGTCGACAACTGCCTCTGCGTGCACAGCCTGCCGCCGCGCAGTCAGTATACCAACATACATACATACATATATATATATACAGACGCTCCGACGCCGATCTAAAAGATTTTAAGCCTTTGTATATTCAAACTGAAAAATACGAGTAGATTAAGTATACCGCGTGTTACAAAAAAACCCGTTACCCCGAAAATGGCATTGAGTATACTTAAAACTGAGATAATGGACGGTGTCCTTAATATCGTAGCCATTGTATTTATTGAAAAAAACAATATCGAAGTTAAGCAAAATTTTCGATACCATTTATCGAAGCACACCGACATTATGATCAGCTGTTTCAGTTCATTGACTTCTAAATCAAAGACTATTACTTTGCCAGACTGGTTATATCTACTGGTATTTAGTGCCTACGTCACAGTACAGCGAAATATTTTTTCTAGTTATGTGGACATACGCAAATATTCGAACATGCAAAATATTACACGAAAACATTATTTTAAAACTTTTTCCAAAATTCGTTTTTATTCAGATTAGAGCTCCCTTTCCATTATACCTTGCCATATTACTATGACCGTGCTACGCACACATCAGACACGGAAACAAACAATAAACAGTACACTATGTTCACTGCACTGGATTAAATACTTTCGCCTGTAATGCTCGTACAATATTTCTTTACGAACTGTAGAACGGCCCCTCCAAAATAATAATCTTTATAATTAATGGTACGACACGTCACTCAATAATGTACTCATATAATCAATTTCATCTAATCTAAACAAATACAGAAGCAGAGGAAGAAGAAATATCGCGACCTCTAGATAAGTAGAATATTCGTTACTGCACGAACAATTTTTTTTCATAATAGGTAGTTTCATTTTTATGAAAATAATTACAATATTATGAAAGTAGGAGACGTATATCACTAAGTCTCTTCCAGGTAACTTTGTCTATCTGTAGCTGCTTCATCTTTGAAACAGAATTTTTACACCTCGTGTCTTTAAATCATGATAACCTGGTACTCGTACCTACAATCTTCTGTAACGAAAGTAAACCTAATATGACGTCAGCGCAGATACAGTCGGGGAATAAATTGAAACATTGATCAATATTCGTGTACACATTTCAATTGTGTACACGTTTAATGTCAATTTATTTCTTTTCTAATATTATTACAATAAAAAGATCAGACTTAAAATGGAATATGAACCTTAATCGGTAATATGATCATTCCCGATTATGGTTTCAACCACTTACTCTTACTGCATGTAAATTGTGTCAAGTAAAGTGGATTGCTACCTTAGAGTAAATGATATGCACTACACTTAGGTATCTTAAAAGCAAGAAAAAATGTTGATAAAGAGCCGCTTTCTGAATTGAGAAAAGTACAAAATCTCAACTGGATATTCTCAATAACTGAAGTTTTTTTATATTTCACTAGTCAAAAACCCTAGTTTTATCAAACTGCTAACAATTAATAATTATAAAAACGGGTGCTAAGAAATAACTTCATTAGCTTAACCCATATATTTTTTTTTCATTGTTTAGGTATTTAAATACGTAAGAGAAATAAATACATAATCGGTAAAATCGAGCCTAAAACAAATTCACTTTATCCCCCGATTGTACAATGACGTAAGATAGAGATAGAGAGGGAGGGAAAGAGAGAGAGAGAGAGAGAAACAAAACATTATCGTTCGTGTTTGTGTGTCGCGCGCGGTAGAAGTAAACATTTGGTACGGATTTTAATTTATTATCTATTTTATTACTGTGGGCTATTCAACTGAATTTTAGAATTAGAGTATAGGATTCACTATTTTAATGCTGTAAGAAATGAAAATGAATGAGACGTTTTATTATGTACTGTTTACCTATTTCCTTAAATAGAAAAAGCCCTAAAACGACCGACACAGCTAACGAACAAATGGTTATTTATTTGAAAAATAGTTCAAAATAGAAAAGGTGTATGAGTTAAAATTTTAAACAGGTATGTCGATTGTGTGCAGATTACTACGGCCCACGAAATACATTAATTTATTTATTTAGCGATGTCTTATGATAGTCGATGCTACTTCCTCTCTACAGACTGAGCCAAGCATGCTCTTTTGCATGCCGGTGCAGCGTGAAAGTATATCACATTTCTCACTTAAACTAGTCTTTACCAAACATTAACAATGTTTAAGTTTGTAAACACTTAAAATACAACCATGTACTATCTTATCAACAACAATAAAAATTTACAAAATCTTTGTCAATTAACAATTCCGTAACTATTTTACCTAGACAATATTTTCTACAGCGATATTTAATTGACAAAAAGGACTCTTCAGAACGCTTAGTGTACTTTTTTTTGACGTTTACGTTCACTGTCGATCGTGAGCGCGTTAAGATTTTAGTATGGAATCCGTAAGAGCGCCCCTAGCGGTAACTACCAAGAAGTACAAATCTCCATACAAATTCTTAACGCGCTCTCTAGTGAACGCGTTAGCGTAAAACTTACACTTACCACTCTGAACTCCGGTAATGTCGCTCAAACTGTTTCACGTTATGTACGTTACGTATTATGTTCTTACGTACGTATGTAAAAAAATTAATTGCAATAATGTCCTGCGACGATTTTTTTAATTTGTACAATAAAATGTTGATCACCTCGGTACTAGGCAACTAGAAGTTTAGGCTCAAACTTTAACATTGCCGCCTGTCTAGGGTTGCCATCTATCCGTCTTTAGTGGGACATGTTTGACTTTTTAGATTGTGTGCAGCATAATGTTAATGTCACATGTCCAGCGGTATGGTTTTCATAGGTTTTTGGTATACCAGTGCCTAAGCTATATCAACCAAACTATGAATACACACAAATTCGAAAAAAATCAAATACCCAAATACCCAAAAAGACGCAGATTTGCACGGGCATTTGCGAAATTTGAATACAAATCATTAGTTTGTTTGCATCGTATTGTCTCCGAAATTACTTTATAAAAAAAACCTTTTTCAAAATAGGTTGTGCATTTTTGATGATACGATCACACGGAAAAATTATTCTGGTATGTGTAACCATATTCTGGTTACCATTACAATATTTATTGCTCTATATGTGACGACCACTCGTATCGTAAGCGTTACACAATGATTCTAGTTAAACATGAATTGTAGTTGTCACATTGTTATTGTTAATTTTACTATTTAATTTTTCAGGTCTACAATCCTTTTTTGTCCTACCAACAAGAAAGTTTATGTTGTTAATCAAAAGTTTTGTAAATAACATATAAACGTTTAATTAAATTTACTGAATGGCATCGTTTAATTTACTACAAAAAAATTACTGATACGATTTGTTGTGTACCTCTGACAAATATTGTATTATAAATGGAACAGAATGATACGTTCACATTACAAAATGACTTGTAATGACAACAATAGAGTATTGTGTAGGTAACTTCTTATTTTGTAAATGGACCAGAAAAAGTAGTTGGCTTATTCCACCGGAACTGGCGGTAAAGACGTGATTGCTTAAAATATGCTTTTATTTCTCAAGATTCATTAAGTTTTCCGAGAAATAAAAGCTCTGAACTTTAAGCAATCACGTCGATACACGACAGTTCCCGCAGAAAATGCCAATAAAAGAATAACAATCAATAATAAGAATCAACACTTTTATTAATTAAAACGTAGAATCAATTAGAAGTAGCTGATACCCTGTCGGCTTTTTTAAAACAGGGTGCTCATTCATGTAGTCAGATACTGTTATATTTTTAGTCTCTTCAAGTCTAATCTTGAGTGTATTTTTCCTTTTCTCTTCTTCAACTGTTTTCCAAGGCTCGCTGGATTTTCTAAGCCACTCAAGGTCTTTATGAATATTTTCTGAAAATATAATATGATTCATGAACTTGTGAGCGACAGATTAATGCCTAATGTGCCTGAAGTGGGAAATGGTAGCAAATATCTATACATATAATGAAATCGTAGGAAAGTCAAAACTGTACATTGAATATTTTGTAAAAAGAATACTTGAGGTGTGATCTACAATCGGTATCGAAGCCAAAAATATAGTTTTTAGAATTTTTGTCTGTCTGTTTGTATGTTCGGGCTAAACTCAAAAAGAACTGCATGGAATTACTTAAAATTTTGCATGAATATTACTATGAGGTTGGGTCAACACATAGGCTACGAAAGCCACGCGGACGAAGTTGCGGGCAAAAGCCCTATATATATTTAAAAGTATGTAAATCAAACTCTTACTTGTGATTGATTGGATTGATTGTCGTTCTCAGAATCCATCAAGGTCTTCCAATTGTTTAAATTTTTAATAAAATTTACTCTATGTCCAACTGGTGGTATGATCTTCTTAATAATATGCGAGTTCAACAGCATTAAGCAGTCCATCATAATGTGGTTTTCTGAAATTAAAAATACATAATAATAAAAAAATATATAGATCAGTCAGCCCGGTACCTAATATCTAAAAAAGAGGTAAGGATTTACTTTTATATCCCAGTCCCACCTACATCTCACAACATATAACATTTTGTATATTTACAAAGTTATGTACTCATACGCAGCTCTGGGAGAAAAAGATAAACAGCTGCCATCATTCCCGTGCAAGATCCAAAATCAGAGTATCAGACTGAAGGGAAAGGACATTTTAAAGTACTCTATTGAGGCGACGGGCTGATGAGCACTTGTCATATCACTACTTAGTAACACAATAAAAACATCTAGCTCCCTCGTCAGACGTGGCCGCTTGTGTGAATTACACCGTAGGGCTTTGCTTGCCCCGATATATGGGCGTGATTATAATTACCTATGTATGTAATCTAAAAAGTCAGGCGTATATCATTTATGATGAGTACATATGAAATAAATGAAACTTACCAGAGAACACATCCACATAACCGCTGAGAACCCAAGCAATAAGTAAGTTTCTGACATCTTCGTCCATTTCAATTTTAAAACAATAAAACACGATTAGGAAGCGTAATGGCAGCGATCGGCGGGCGATTATCCCATAGAATAATAGTAATCCTATCACTGTCACTTCACTGCGCGCGCGACTAAAAGAAAGAAAAATGATGCAATAAGTTCACTGCCCCTCACCCCCCCGCATCTCGATCGCCGCCAAGCCGCGCGAAGTTTTGCAAATGCAACATCACTGATTGTTCTCTATACTAATTGTATTGTAATTACAAACGTATTTTCAGTACTCATCATAACTCGTGTTGTAGATTTTTAAAATACAATTTTTCTTGTAATGTTTAATATACTTTCAGTGCTGATTACAATTTCAGAAATAACAGAACTGTAATTGTATTGCTTACAAAATGTCAACTTATGTTAACAATATTTCTGTTTCTGTGTACAAAATTATAGTTATCTTTACAGTATTTCTCTTAACCTAGACGTTTTGTAGTATTGTAAACTAAAAAGTTTTTCCGTGTAGGTACCTTTCTGTGCGCCTTTGACATGCCGCACACTAGGCAGCGGCTTATAATAAAGGACTCAATTGGCGGCTTTCCCTTTTTATCACTTTTTTCTTTATTCAGTAGTTCATACGTCGTTGATGTGATCGATCACGTTTTGAAAATATCCGTGTTCTCTAATTCCGAGTACTATGAAAAGTGCTTTCATCAGTGTTACATCGGATGCAGTGTTGTATTGATATAAATTGACACTATTTTGAAAATATGTAATTAAACTGAAACGTCAGTGGTTGGCCGTGATCTTTAGTTTTTTCTTGTGTAATAAAATTAAGCCTAATAAAGTGTAGGTGAGTGAACCTCACAAGTAATGCTTAAACAGTGAATAAGGAAGTGAAAAGGTAAAGTACAAATAGTAATTCGCAAATATTTCTTTTTAAATACGCCAAAATCGTTTGTGAATTAGTCGCATATCATATTTTTTTTATTATCGTAATATCAATCAGATTTGTCGGACCATTAAAGTATGAACTAAAAGTTAGCCTCGTATATCAGTGTTTGATTAAATTTTACCTATCTATCATAAATAGGTACTACTTAAAATGGTGTTTGATCTGTAATTCAGAAACAGCTGAGTCGGAAACGATGCTATGAAATGATGTGCGTGTTGATAATGATATGTATTATGAAAATTTTACTGAAATTAGACTACCGGCTGAACAGCGTCGGTTACCATACCATTTTGCCAATGATTTGATTCCTATTTATTTTCTTTTCATTTTATTTCTTTTTATTTTCGATCGATATAGGTTAAGTATTTACTGTGTAAACTGGCAAACGCAGACATGTTTTTAAGTATATTTTCTCTCTCATTCTTAGTGTGTATGTGTGGGTGTGTACTAGGAGAATAGAAAAAAAAATAGAAAACATAGGAGGTAGGTAGTGTGCCATTACTCCTGGTAAGGTCATTAACCTAAAATAGTGATGTGACATAGCACACTCGATGTTAATATTAATTATTAAAAAATAGCCTTTTTACTGAAAGTTAAAAGTTAATGCAAAGGTTTTGAAAATTTGGCAGAGTACTGTTTATATGATATACTTCAACACCCTTCAGCTATAACGGGTATTTTTGTAACACGCGGTATAACTTTTTAAACGATGCTATAATATACAATAGGGTAGTTTCGCTATAAGTTACGAAAGTGCACAAAAACTAAAATCGTTATAAACATGGAGATTTTGATGTTGTGCCTTAAAATAACACGATTATCATGATATCTTAAATCGCATGACTTGTTTCGAAACACGACCCGCCATTGTGCGACGTCACTGTGGCGACAGCTGTCAGATTGGTCATAAAGATATGCCTATTAATTATAAATCAAGTTTGTAGATGGCTCTGTTCTAAACTAATTTATATCTTTTTGTTTCGTAATGGATTCGTTTTATTGACATCTTTTACTCTATGCATCTGTTTTGTGTTTATATCACAATGACGTCATGAATACGACAGACAGCGTTTTCGTGGATATTATAAATGTTTAAATTCTGATTCAATTTTAAGTCAAGCAAACTTGTTTATTCTTTCGATATATTTGTTTTATGGTTGTTTAAAATTAGAATAAATAATTACAAGAATAATTTAAACGGAGTCAGTTAATAATATATTAATAACCCCTATTAATAAAATAAGACAAATATATTTTTATTGTAATATTTTTGTGGTAATTATTAGAAGTTAATGTACTCATTTGACGTTCCACCTTTCATGACATTAATTGTATTTTTCTTTTCAGGTACCGTACCTGCCTGGGTTGCCATCATCCTAATTGTTTTCGTACTATTCTGTACCTTTAGTTTATGTTCATATCTGGGCATATAACAGCCTGTAAATATTATTTAAATGTTAGCTACTATTGTTATATATGAATGATATATAAATTATTCTGGTACGGCTATGAAGGTGGACAGTGTTGAGACATCGATGTTTATATATTAAAGTGTGTAACATATACCAATGAAATTGTTTTCTAAAATTCATAGTGAAAACCGTTAGAATAATAATAGTGCCTTACATAATTTATTATCACATTCAGACTACAGGACATTATTTTTATGATATATTTGAATGATTTGCTTTAACATGTCGAATAATTTAAGAACCTTATTATTATTTTTTTTTATTGTGATAAAATAAAAAAATATATACAGTACCATTACAAATAAACATATTTACATATTTTTTAATAGACAACCGTCTTATTACATTTTTTTCTTGTATTTTAGAAATACTTATGCCTTTTAATTCTGTTCAGATTTATTCTTGTACTCTAGTACCTGTTATTCTTATTTGTAAAATAGTATTCGAGTTTGCCTAATAAGATCGCACCAATTTTTTGCACTTATAAGAGACGAGATCGTCTAAAACTTATTTTAGGACAAGTGTACTATTGACTTCATATTATGTCTATTTAAAAATATCATTAATAGGAGTGATTAGAAAGAACTTTGGTATGGGTTATTTTCTTTGAATATTTATTAATTACTTATTTCATGTTAAATTGTATTAAGGATTCCTTTTTTTTTTAATATTGATGAAACTGAAAAACTATGTACATAAGTCTAAAGAAAAACATGAGAAATAATAAAGACATGGCTGAATGAGCATTTTCCTTTGCATTTAAAAACGGCGGGACTTAAATCTACTCTAAAATATTGTTTCTATATCTGTATCCCTATATAGCCTAATAATAACAATGAATAAGATAAAGATTTTGAGATTGTGTACTAACAAACGAGTTAACTCACCACCCATGGCCTTTGATAAAAACAATAGTAATATAATCAATAGTATCCGTATATAATGGTTGCATATATATATGCTAGATATATACATATATAGATTTAGACATGCATAAAACTGCTCACTGCGAAAAGAACAATGTAGTTCATTTGGACTATATAAACTATACACTTCATCTAGAATGATTGGTGAACCCGGGATTACTATCGTGTACATTATTTATAACGAGTTTCCGATATTTCGACTCTGTTGCGAGCTCGTTAAAACTATGGCAAATGGTATTAACCCTTGATTAACAATCATTTTAATGTTAATAACCATGAAAGTTTAAAATTAAACACCTAGTTCATTTAGATCATTTGTATCTATAGTTCAATCAACTCGGTTCGAACTCTCATTCATTAGGGGTGTTAAGTTCAATCGGATCGCTACGGTAGTTCTCATTTGTTGATTTCAAACGTTAAATTCATATGTTTTAAGACTGATTTTGCAATAATTTCTGTCACTCATACATTCTTATAACTATCACGTTTCCACACGCGTTATTTATATATATTTTATATTCACTATCCTTCAATTGACAAGGAACTACTGAACTAATTTCGATAAAAATGAACTATTGAAGGACATTGACTATTATTTTACTTCATTTAAATAAGTCTACTTCTTTTATTAATGGCTTATCTGCACGTTTCACACAATTCTGCTAATGTCAAGTGATTAAATTAAATAAATTTCTATGTGTAAAATGAAAATGAAAAACAGAACAGTTGCTTAAGATATCAGTTTGTATTTGGAGCATTTATTATGCAGTAATATTCAATGTGAAACATACTTTTTATGCTTAACTTGTTTTAAATTAGATTCTTTTGTAAATAATGGGACTTCAAATTGTAGGTCTTAAGATTGGGCACACTTGTGAATTGAACACCAATTCATTAGTCACATGTTGGTAGATTTTTAATATTAAACTGCGAAAAAAAATCTTATAATCAACGTTAAAATTGTTAGTTTGATCTCAAATAATGTTCCTAATCGGTAAATCTGAAATTTCAAGTAGGAATTCTAAAACATAAACTACAAAAATAAGTGTGACTAGATGGCCATACTATTTTCGACACATTTCTGTAAATTCTTGACATTATTATTATTATTAAACGATGACGTAAAAATGAATTATTTCATGGATTAATTTCTAATAACTCAACTATTTTCGAAACTTACAGACGTTTATTAAAGATAGTATTTTTGGTGTACGCGCCCTGAACTCTTGTATGTTACTCACAGTCGTATCTATAGTCGAGAAAAGTACCTAATTACTTGAGAAAATATCATAAACTAAGCGGTTATTTTTAACCAATAGACGCGAATTTGAATAAAAAAGGAACTATTGATATTAATAATTCTTAATATTAACATTGTTACTTCATTAAAAATTTATTTATTTGGTAAAAATACTTGCTTAAATTATGAGTTAGTACATCTTCTCTTGACTATAGATACAGAGGTTGGACTCCGTGTTGTTATAAAACGAGGACTAAAATTAGTGTACTCGGTTTAAACTATTGGTCGCATAAAGCCAAACCATATTGACAATGACAGAAGAGAAAACGTGTTGACTTGATTTGGTCGGATAAACCTGGTACTAAAGTTAGTCCTCAGTTATAAAAGACGGTATAGATTTAATACGAATAATACATTATTTCATATGGAAAAATATGATTGTTTATTTGTATCGAATAAGCTCTGAAATGACTGGACTGATTATAAAAAATCTTTCACCTAAGGGAAGCTACATGATACGCGGGTGACGCAGGCATTAATTTATTCGAGCTAAGTTTGGGAATAATGGTATTTGTATATAAGTGAAATATTCGAATATGTACAAAGAGTGGTCGTACTTTTCCTTTTGGTCAAAGTTTTTCATTAAAGTGTGCATAAAGCCGATATTGTATGATATTTACGTGTGCTATAATTCTTGGTCTGCCTTATTGTGTGTCATGTCTGATGGTGCGTGAGAATTGAAGATCACAAAAATTAGCGCGTAAAAATTAGTGAGTTTTATTGTTGTAACGAGTGCGACTCACTGACGGTATAAGGGCTGGTGTACAACTTGACGAGACGGATCTTTAGGAGAAAATACGCTTTGTGGCAATAACTCATTATTAAAGTGCTAATGTACACTGAAAAATATATCTTATAATTTGACAGAGCGTGTTAAATATTGTTTACGCCTTTATAACTTCCGTCCAGTGTACCACGTCCTTATATCCTTTTGTGCGTCTATGATGTATACAATTAAATTGTACATACAGCAGAATGTTACCACTAAATTGATTTCAAACTTTATTTCCGACCTCCGAAGGGTTATAATCTTAAATTAGAAAATTTTGACACTTTTGTATGGCCGGATGTGCTGTTGATTGTACTGTACATTATAACGCAGATGTCTTATGTTGAATCCAATATACCATAAGAAGTTTATAGTTTTAAAACCTTTACGATGCCAGTGTTTAGTATTGTTCTAATATGTGACTGAAAACTTACATTATCCTTTGAATGTTACATGTTATTATATAAATATTGGCATTATTGTATACTGTCTGTTTGTCTCGAGCTGAACCATCCGAATAGCAGTAATCTGAGGGCTACTGTAACAGTGCTCGTATATCTATCAGAACCGCAGGACGCGGACGAAACGAATTTTCTATGTACCTAGCAAATTATTGAATGTCACCTGCATTAGAATCCTGACATGTTCATATTTTTGTATACACATAATTCAAAAATTCCTTTTTTTCACTACCTTCCATTCTGATAGATGTGCGATCACCTTAAATAAGGATATAGGTTATTATTATGGTGAACATTATGCTCATACTTATGTGTAATAGGATCAATTGATTAAAATGAATTGAGAAGTTGCATTTGATAGTTTTCATTTTATACTCGCACCAACTTAAAACTGTTCTGCAGTTTGACTAGTTAAAACTTTTCTATAGTTTCTTCGGTATAAAAGCGTTTCGTTTTAGGTTTCCATATCTCAATATTAAAACGAAAACGGCGATAGGACCACTTTGTTGTCAGTTTGTAAAGATCCTTTGTCTCCAGAAAGCGTAGAGGTACCAACTTACAAATAATATTAAATATTGTCTCCAATCCTTTGCAGCGTGGAAAATCTATGTAAATGCAAGCAAAATATACGGCCTATATGCCGCTCTGATTATTCCAATGGAATGTATTAGTCTCATTATTATGACAAAATACTGTTGTATTGTTGATCAAACCTAGTATTTTAACACCTGCGTTCACTGATATTACTGATTTACATATATAGAAGGGACGTCCTGAACAAAGGGTTGGGGAAAAAATTTTTTTTGGACGATTCAAAAGTGCTTGTAATAGCCTACTTGAATAAAGATATTTTCATTTTCATTTTCACCTGATGAGTCGAGAATTCATTTCAAATTCGAAAATGGTGGCTCTGCCAACCTGATACGCTCAACTACCCGGCTAAACATTGATGGGCTAAGTAGCTGAATATAACGTTTCACAATTCAGCTAGACAATACTCGGCCATTTAATTAAATATACTACTAGTAATACAGAGAGGAAAGATTTGGTTGTTTACTCCGAGGCTCCGAAACTACATATTGGACCAATTTTCAAAATTCACCTACGTAACCTATATTCTAGAAGTAAAATCAAGCGCGGGTAACATAGGCTATTAATTTAAAAATATTAACACATAAAATGTATAAATAGGTGCAACAAAATGTTATTCGAGATAAATAAAAGTATTAGGTCATTTCATAACATTTAATCAATTACATCAAAACAAATAACATACACGTTTTAGATAAACTCTCGGCAAGTTGCAATGTATCATATAGACGGACTAGAGCTTACAAATGGTACGTATATTTCCATTACATAAATTCGTATCGTTCAAGCCACGAGTGATGATGATGGGTAATGAATTTGAATGAGCACGAGTCTAATGTATCTTGCTTAAAACTGATATTAATTTATACAAATATTCAGTTAAATAACAATGAAAAAAAAATATAGTTTTAAAATATAAGCATTGTGAACACGGTTGTACACGGTTGGTTATGTCAAATTATGGCGATGTATTTTGACCTCTACCCTCAATGTGTTAAGATTTAAAATCGGGTGGGGAATTTTGTTATTGAGTGGAATTTTAATAAAATATTGAAGTGGTTAAATAACCAGAAATTTCTTAAATTGATTTTAAACCCTAACTTGTTGGCAGTTAGGTTAAACATCTCACGATCTCACGTGCTTCAGTGTACATATACTCAAATCTACCTACTCCTGCTACTGCAACTTTCGCTTAACGCTCGTCATTTGTTCGGTTTGTCCAGAACATTAATAATTTCATAAAATAATTTCGCAAAATGTATATATAGGAGCGTAATCAAGTCGTTGAGCACCAGATATCTCGATGTGTATGTGTTTTCACGATTATGAATGTATGAATGATAATTTTATGTAGGAAATCTGAAGCAGAAGTACAGCGGAGAAAGTTGAACGTCCACCTTGTGACCATTATCGCTAGCGCTAGATCATTATATAGTAGGTATTCTACAAGTATCTCTCTAAACATTGTCCATGCAAAATGTAATACTACACACTTCCTCTACCATACATCTAGTCACCTAACCAGTCGATTCGATTCGCCATCCATTATAGAACCGTGTCACATTAACTGATATATTTCTATTATTATATTGCCTATAATTTGTAATCTATTGACATTAGGAGATTGAAATCTTCTGAATTTTATTTACCTACAACGTTATTTAAGCTTCGATTTAGGAAACTAATTAATCTCCTATGGTAAGGGTTGATATTAGCTGACTGTACTGTACATACTCTAGTGCATCAGGTGACCTACTGACGTTTTTGTAATTTTGAAAATAGTTCAACATAATAAGGTAATATAATAATAATATACGGTAATATAATGGAGAAAACTGACGGTTTTGTATAACTGCAATGCTATTGGTATTTTATGTTTTTAATATTGTGTTTACAACGTAGGAGAAATATATGTGAGTGAATTCTCTAGAATTTACTCCATTTGAACACTCAGGTGTATTCTTACATTTCAAAATGAAAAAAGTAAATCAACTGAAAATCTGATTATCTAATGAAACAGTTTTCGTTACGAACCCAAGAATTAGAGGGTGCTATCTTGAAAACAAAAATCGTGAAACGTTTCTTTCGTTGCAAACACACGTCGTTAGTTTTTATTTTGACAATAAATTTCTCATGTTCGTTTAAAATGATATGTTAAGCGTTAGGTATAAGTCCCACAAATTGCTATTCTGGAACTTTGTCTAAATAACACCCGTATAGATAGCACAAAATGCAAGAGATAATGCTCTATCAATTATTGAAATATTTATGAATAATAATTCCTAATTATCAATTAATTATAAAAATATCATTTTCTTTGTAATAACGCAATAACAAAAGGGAACGACGATTTTTAAAACATCGCCAAAAGTAATAAATGTAATGAAAATAGACATTAGATATATTTATTTTTATTGAAATCGAATTTACGCGTACGCGTCAACCAGTAGTGTTTATTTGTCAACGGTACTGATCGTTGAACACACAACTTGCGGGGATTATAAATGATAATATATATGTACTGCACATTGCAGTACAATATTAGTTTAGCCTACTTTACTTTTTAAATTACCTTGTGACAATCAATTCTATTGTTTCTACTTGTTTGAACATAATTTGTACACAAAAAAAGCAGATATTTTTATTTGAACCTTAGCGCCATCTTAGTTATATGATTATCAATAATTTTTATGATAGAATATTCTCAAATTGACAAAATTGGTTGTGATATTTTTTTTTCCTGATGTATACAGTATAATAATCACGCTGTTCGAGCGTTCGTGTTATACGTTTCTCAAGTTTACGTCTACTTTTTTTTGTATATGTAATAATTATTACCAATGACTGTGGAAAATAGATAATTTAATTGCTTTATATATTTGATATACTAGACATATATTCTCATTAAATATGATTTTCTAATTAAATAACAGTCAGTCATATTATGTCGAACTTTTTTATATTAAGTTTTATATTGTTTTGTTGAAAAAATCTTATACGAAACTAATATATAATAGTTTCAAAAGAATAAATCAAAAATATTATAAAGATAATTTGCAACTCTTTTTCTTTGTATATATCGTTAATTATATTATGTACAACATATAATACGGATGCGGGCATTTTTTACATTAAAAAAATATTTATATATCATTTGTGTAGATTTATATAAAATATAATAAAATACGGGTTTCTTTATAGATTACGTCACACCATTTATTTTGAGTGCCTACTCTCTCTCACTTCTTGTCACATATGGTCCCATTAGGATTAGGACTCGTCCTTCTACCCTTGTCACGCTATATAATACTTTGGTACTTAGTGATTATAATTTATGAACGATTATTTTTGCTATTTATTTGTTATCCCTTGGAATATAATAATAGAGTTATAGTCATTATATTTCTGATTTTGTTGCATTCGCACATTCTCGTTAATTTTGATATCCAATGTTATATCACTAATAAGATAATGAGGTTATATTCACGACTCAATTGAAGTGATACCATACATTAATGTATGTTTGTGTGGTCCCTCTGGTTAAATACTGTAGGTATAATATAATGTTTATTTATACATATAAAATATAAATTGGAATAATCAATCGTTGTAGGGGCTAGGAAGTCATGTCAAGGCACGTGTATCGTTATGTAGATCGATAAATTAATAATGTGATGACGAAATTAAACGATATCATTGAGTAACACATTAACTAATATAAGGTTACACACATTAATGGCACATTTAATTATGTAGCATTCGATTTAAACTTACTATAAAAAATGAAATCTATAATAAAGTTTAACATAATTTTATTTATAAATCTTTACTCTAACATCACATCAGTACAGTTTTTTCCTTAACATTTAAATTTAGCTACTTCGCGAACAGTTATATATTTATATATCACAATCATAATATACAAAACGTAATAAAAACATATATTTTTTGCAGTTCATTAACTAGCTCATTGTTTTATAGCTATTACTGTGTTCTATTACACATTAAATATTTTGTTTAGAAAATCCTATCTAATCTCTTCTTATTTTAGTTTTGTATGACACATAGCGTAATGAACTGTAAAAAAGACTACAATAAACATGTGACGCGTCGGGGACACAATTTAGATCAATACAAAACTTACTCTGACAAAATCTTTAGAACATCTATTGTATTGAAAACAGTTGAACGCTGTGACGTCATAAAGCTTCACCTTTTAAATAAAACCTTTATTTGATTAAATTTTTATGACGTGAGAGTGTTTCACTCGACGTCGAGTTGCAAGCTGTTTTTAACACAATATTAAAGGTGAACGAAGTAGTTGGCAGCTTTTTAAATGTCATTGTATTATGACGTGTCATTTGTACCCCCGATCGCCGCCACCAGTCACTCTAACAACAATAATTAACATAAATATCAAGCTATAATTACTTATTTACACTTAATTACTAACACATTACAACATTACCAACATAAAATCTTTGTTTCTGTTTAAAAGAGTCCATAAGTTTTTCAAAAATATGTATATAATATTTATAAAATATATTTTCTTCGTCGGACAGGGTCGGTCGGATCGGGTTATAAGAAAGATCTTTAACAACAGAGATTTTTCATTGATTTCTTTAAAAAATTGCACCATAAAAATATCCGGTCCGCCTTCCCGAACGCGAAAAGTTATAATTTCATTAGCCCTGTAATACTGACTCACATCATGATATATAATTGACATCCTAACACTCATTAAATACATTTATATATGAGAATCAAAAACAAATTTATAAACATTCGATTTCATAACATTCCATGCGCCATTCAGCGGAGATTTTAACGTTCTACAGTCCTTAAATTTATAAAACAATCAAAATATAATAACATTCATTAAAAATTCACATAAAATCTGCTTTTGAGCCCTCGACACCTCACTACGAAATGCATTCAATTAGGCGTTATATCAGAGTTCATTGCACGAGCGCGGGCGGAGCGTCCCGCTAGCGGCGACCACGTTCAAACTGCAACCACACACAGGCACATATTAAATACTTAAATCTCACAACACTGACTAAAGTAAACAACGAAACTTCTTTTTAACTTAAATCTTAGTAGTTATTTTCAAACGGGGACTGAATAAATGATGAATTTATTTCTATGCCTAAACTATTATCCGCGTCCGCGTAGGTGAAAGAATTTTCAAAATCGAGCCAGTAGTTTCGGAGCCTATTAATGCGAGCAAACGTGTTAAAAATCAATCGTTTCCACCCACGCTAAACCGACACTAACTAACAGCTTTACAAGAATAATAATGAAGAAACGGCAAACACCATTCAGGAGAGGCACTCACCTTGGTCGAAGGTGCTCGGGTTGATGTAGGAGAGCAGGTCCTGGTCGCTCATGTCGGTGAGGCCGTGCACGGGCGCGGCCATCTCGTGCGAGACGGCGGCGGACACGGCCTGCGACACCGCCTGCGACACCGCCTGCGTCACCGCCTGCGACACCGCCTGCGACATCGCCACCAGCGGCTCCGGGCCCGGCTGCTCCGCCGGCGGGTCCGCCGCCGCCAGGCCGCCGCCGCCCGCCGCCGCGCCCTCCGTCGTCAGGATGTTGGCCGTGTTGATGGCCGACGTCACCAGCGCGTTCATGGCCGAGTCCGACGTCAGGATCTCCGCCGCCGCGTTCAGGATCATCGACTTGACCGCGGCGGGCGGCGTCTTGACGGACGTCAGCTGCACCTGGTCCGGCAGCATCATGAGCTCGTCGGGCGGCGGCGGCGGCGCGGGCTCGGAGCCGCCGAGGTCGTCCACGCGCGAGTTGACGAGCTCGTCCAGCTTGGCCGCGTCCGACGGCAGCATGGCGGCGGTCGCCTTCATCGCGTCCTCCACCAGCGCGTCCATGTGCGCGCTCTGCTGCGCCAGTCTGTGCTCGATGTGCTGCGTCTCCATCTCCATCTTGGTGATGGCGCCGAACGGGTTGAACTCGTCGTCGGCGCGCGGCGGCGGGATCGGCTCGTACACCATCATGGGCCGGCCCCCGTCCCCGGGCGGCCGCATCGCGCCCTCGTTCATCATCAGCTCCGAGTCGAGCGCCTTCATCTCGGTCCGGAGCGGGTCCATCGGAGACTCGGCCGCGATCAGCCGCCTCATCGGGTCGATCGTCGGCATCGGGAGGATCGGCGGGTAGATCTGGTCGGCGTTCTCGCCCGAGTTGAATATCGCCGCGGTGACCGTCTCGACCATCTTGTCGGTCTGCACCTGGTTCTGTATCGCCTGGAGCTGTTGCGTGAAAGTCGCGAGCGGCGAGGGCGAGTCGCTCTGCGTGGGCGTCGGCGGAGACAGCTTGATGGGATCGTAGGCTCCGACGAAGCTCACCTGCGGGACGAAGAGGAACGGTTTCGTTCGATTACACCGGTCGTTGGTTAAACGCTCGTTCCGAACGATCCCTACGCTCTACTTTACCTGGCTTTGGGAGTCTCTCGTGAGAGTTTCCGACTTGAGCCGCAGGTCCACGACTTTGAGGTCGTCGGGGAGAATGGCCGGAGGTGATTGCTTCTCGGGCCCGTCCGGGCCGCACGACGATTCCGCGTGGTCTATCAACGAGTGCTGGCTGGATTCATCCACCTGACGTGGTAGAAATAAAAATAATGATACCTACTTTATGGAAGTTGAATTCACTTTGGAGCCGTTAAATATTTTAAATGAATAGATTTGTATGTTAAGCTATGACTCACCTCGCTCTTCAGACCTTGCGAGACTTCGTGGTCGGGTAGCAGCGAGGGCCGGCGGGCGGGGCGCGCGGGGGGTGGCATCATCGGCCACGCGTCGGCACCTGTACAGGGGCGGGTTAGTACTACTAGTTCACACACACATCGGCGTTCCACGACGCTGAGCTGCCCTCCACGCTTGTATAATATACTCCCATATAAAATAAAACTGTTCTCATATACTAAAGAAATAGCACAAGCACATGAACGGCTTGATAATCAGCGGCAACGTTAAGGTGGAACGGCGTTCTTTCATTATTTTTGGCTGTCAATAGATGGTGAGTATTCTGATTTGATGAATGAAAATGTACCTTTTCATTTATACTGATATCTCAGACCAAATAAAAAGTTTTTGTTTGATCTGAGACAAATACATCATATTTGCTTTATCAGTACATTAATAATATAAATTAGTAAATACTGATTAGTATTTACCATCGAACAAAACGATAAAAGAGACCTGGTAGCGATATAGATTGTGTTTGACGTGGTTGATGTGTAGATTTTTGACATTTTGACAAGTTCAAGATATTTTCTGGCTAAATTTAATGAAAAGGATTGGCGATTTTTATTATATGTCGTTTTCGGATATTCACATTCATTTCAAAACAATGAGAAAAAGTAATGGCCCCAAAATTTTTTCACATGTGGTGTGCCACAAAAAATCATCAAATAAAGCGATCGGCATCGTCTATTGACAATCGAAATAATAAAACTGTGAAGTTCCACCTTAATTTAAAGATCCTTGTGACATTACAGCAAGAGTATCGTAGTGTGCATAGAGATTATTGCTTGCACACCCAGAAAGATTGTTTGTGCATTTTGGTTGCTTCAAAATTCTGAAATAATAATTTTAATTGATTTCGATTTGTTGTCACAGCACGATTTCTTCTATCTGTTGTTGCATTTATCTCAAAGTCTCAGTCTGAGTCTTTCATTAGCAGTGACGGATTTAATTCTCTAGAATTCTTATAAGACTCATAGTCTTTTCCCATTTTCTTTAATGCGTTTTGTTTTAAATGCTCTTATCTTAGATTCTTATTACAGCACTTAAATTTTATGTATAATGATTCCTTTCGATGATTAATATCAACAAATGACGTATAACAGAATCCATTTTTTTACATATTTGATCAGTGTTACATACTCTATGCTGTAGGTATTCTAGAGCGATGATGTCGCAGTACAGGTTTATCATAAGCTTGGCGGAAATCTCTCCACAATTTTATAAATACGTTATGGTTTTTGTTAATGAAATAAAACATTTTTCATTTCTTATCATCTTGATATTTATAGATTATCATATAGAAAAATGTTTATAAAATCGCTAGTAATGCCAAGTGCTCTTGATGGGATCCATTTTATTTAAAAACGATTCGTCGATGCTTTATGTGTGTAGGAACAGGTAGTGTAACTAGGATGTCAACTGACTCCAGATTCTGCTCAACTGAGAAAAAAATCACAGTTTATAAAATATGAGCATGCGAGGGCAGCGTCAGAGATTAAGGTCGTGGAACGAGTATCTATCTAAATGGTGTAGGGAGGGGAGGTCTGTGTAGTCTGTATCCTAACAACGAACGCTCTAGTATCACTGAAAAGTAAGCTTTGTTCGGTGTCAATAAAGTACATGTTACTATAAAATCGTCGCCCGCGATAATTATTTCGATTTATTTTTTTTCTATTATTTTGTGGTGTGTTTTTTGTAAAGTGTTGGCGGGTATAAGTGTAAAATATGGATATGCACAATACACGATCAATACTTTAAAAATTAATTCTGGGAAAGTTTACAAATTTTTTAAGCTTTTAATTTATGTATATATTTTTATGTGTATCTAAGTAATGATAATAAGATATCAATAAATTACATAAACAAGTATTGAGTTTACTAAGAATTATTGACCACTGTTTATTTTTTAATTTAAAATAACTCAACTTATACCTACAGAATCTTGATTCGCAATTTGAAGTTTTTTATTCCTGGCAGAGTTTATACAGGGTTAGTTGAAAAACATCAACAACCCTGCAGCCCTGCTGCCATAATTATAAATAGCTGATGTTTATGAGTTTCATTCATTACATTGTGCTTTCATACTTTACACGCAATAAAACATAGGACCTATAAAAGTCACAAAAGTTAAAAAATATATTTTGTTCTAGAGTTTGGATGACAATGACCGAGTGGATCGTACGCCGTTTACTAAGTGTCGCCATCTAGTCCTGCGTGATTACTGGTGTTAAAATTAGTGATGTGCCGTATCACTGAAAATGTATATCCGCGGATACGGATCCGAATACGGATATTTGGTGTCAAGATCCGCGGATACCGATACGGATACGAATCTTTATTTCTTTACTCAATCGGTATCAGCGTGCTGAGACCTTGAAACGATAGTTGACGTTACGCCCACCGCGACAGGTAGGACATGTTTCGACTTGTATTGCGTGGGCATTAGTATTTTTTGTTTTATTTACTGTTTAGTGTGTCAGTATTAATTTACTTTATGAGAATAATCATTCGATTAGAATTTATTTTTGGTTTTCTCATCATCTAATAGTTATAAAAGTGATCTTATAAATTATAACTTTCTATTACATTGATCTCATTATAATTATAAAAAAAGATTTAAGTTTTGGTTTTCTCATTTTCTAATTACAAAAGTGATGTTATAACTTTCTATAATATCGATCTTATTATAAAGATAGTTAATAAGTACCTTTGAATTAATATTTAAATTTTTTCAAATCTACGTAATCACCTATATAGCATTCCATCCTATCAATTGAAAATTGATAAATTAAAAGATCCGCGAGAAAAGTAACGGATACGGATATCCGGAACATCACTAGTTAAAATAGTGCTGTGAGCCTGTGATAAATTTAGTTTTTTAAACGTCAGTTGTGGTGTGAATATTCATAAGGACACTTTATTTATTTTATTTAATATTAAACTTCTGTTTTATAATTGATATTATGATTTTAGATGATTCATTTTTGTTACATTATTTTCTGTTATGTAAGTTTTTATTAAAAAAGATTGACCTACTATGGGATACATGGGAGATACCGTTCAGATTTTGTTTATTTCTGAATGCCAATGTGTGTATGGGGCAATATCTATACAGTTAACGTGTATGTGTAGTGTACGGGGCGTGTGTGCGTGTGTGTCAGTACCGTAGTGGACGGGCGAGCGGCGGCTGCGGGCGGCGGCCGCGCCGCTACCTAGACAGACCTAGCTTGAACAGAAGGGAAAAAAAGAAAGAGTACGCCATTTTCGCATCAGTCATTTCTTCCAAATTGTTTCTCATCTGTTACATACTAAATCCCCATAATATAATAAACACATGCACCGATCTGATAACGAGGAAGCTAGCATGCGGTTAGTATACAAAGCAACGTTACAGCGATACGTATACAGTATGACGACAAAAGTGCAGATTACTATTAGTTGTATTGTAGTTATACTGTACCCGTGGTTTAATATTACTTTTAATAGGGCTAAAATTTGGGATTTACAGTTTAATACTAAATATAAATAAATATCTTACTAGCGACCCATTTCAAGTAATTTGTGATAAAAAAAAACTTGATATTACAAAAATAAACTTTCCAAACTGTAAGCAATATACAAAGCTGCAGTCAAATTTTTTAGTATCGTTTAAGTTTGATCACAGCTTATTACACCAGAAGCCGTATTAGCAATAATTAATAATAAAACAAATTAAACAATGGTGATTATAAAAGCTAAAAAAGCATAATAAATACAATCGTGTGTAATATCTCGTTAATTTAAAAAGATAAAAGCTCATTGGATTTTTTTTTGTGTATGAAACGGGTCTAATAAAATGCCTCATCGTTAAACAAATTAGGCGAACTAAATTAGAAAGTTATTTGAAAATAAAAATCTTAAATGAATACGATTATTAAAAAATATCTTCGTGTCGATATTTAAGTTAACAGAAAGAGTTATTATGACACGGCAGTGGTCTCTTTTATTTACTGAATTATTATTGATAATATCCAGTAAACTTAGATACATTTTTTTATTATTCTTAATCAATTTATAGTCGTGATAAGCCATTAGATTCCGGATCCAGGCCTTCTTTATATATTTTTTTCTATATGTCATATTATTCAAACATTTCCAAGAATTTAATAAAAGCAGCTAAGTTTTTTATGTAATCTGGATAATAATTTTATGCGAAAGCTTTATCTAACAACTTATATACATATACTTACTACACGTTGCTTTAAGTTACTAAAACATTATATATGAATATATTTAAAAAATTACAATAAATACACAAGTGACCACCGATGATACAAGTCTATTATTATTCATGCAATGGTAGACATTTAAATATTACAAACAGATAATTAAAATTTCTGAAATAAATGAAAAGAAATCTACGTATAGTACAGATATCATATTATAATATGATATATATGTATATATGTGATCTTGGCAACAATGTCAAATTAAATTTAAGTAATATACAAAATATAAAAGCGTGCTATCGAAGAGATGAAAGAAGTCCGTTCTCATATTTTAACAAAGTTACACCAATTATTATGAAAACCATCTGACACAATAGGCTATATGCACATAATTATATTTGAATTATATAATGTTGATAAGTGCCGAAAATTTTAATTTATAGTCATTGTCCTCAAAAGCAACAGATAGAGAAGAATTAATATATATGTATTGTAATCATAACATTTATTTATATAAATACCTATATAAATTATAATTGATGATAATAAACAATTTAAATTATTTACCAAAAACATGCATGTACCATATTAACTCGTTTAATATTAAATATCGAATAAACGAACGTTTTTCTCTCCTCGATTCAATTAATAACAAACGGCGTATTAGTACAAAGCGTATGAACTGAGTATTACGCCGCATACACACTTTTAAAATACGACTTAGCCCGGTGAAAAATTTAAAGTGTTATAGTATGATTTGGATTGATTTGATTTGATTAAACAAACGCGGTGTTCCATCGGGTAGGGCCATGTATTTTAAAAAGGTGTTCCAGCATCGTCGGTTACTCTGTTACCGATGGTCTAAATATAGAATGACAAAGCGCGGGGAGTATAAGCGGTGGTGAAATGATTCGCGATCAGTTACCTGCGGGTCGCTGCGTGTGGAGTGCATGCGGCGTGCAGTGCAGCGGGCCGGTGTCGAGCGCGTGCGGCGTGTAGAAAAACGCGTGCGGTTCGGACGCGCGGCCGCCGGACCGCACGAACACTTGCACGCACACCGCTTCTGTGATATCGGTGCGCGCGTACGCGGGCACGCAACAAACCAGGTGCGTCTGTTGAGGACCGTATTAATTTATATATACAAGATTATTTCAAAACACCAGCAACCTCGCAGGACTAGATAGACAACAACGAGTGGTCTACTAGTTTACTGAGCGTACTGACATGACATTTCTAAAAAAAGAAAACTTCTAAAAAACTCAAAAAAGTGAATAAAATTAAAATAGGTACTATTATTTGATTACGTACCGCGCGGCCGTAGATAATTATATCAAGAACAGGTCCGAGTCCCGATAGTGTATAATTTAGTTGTAAAAACAAATAACCCTGTATATTTATTTCCATATTAATAATTACAAGCTTCAGTTGAGTATCGAACAGCTGGTATTGGATGCTGAGGACATTTTAGTTAGTCCGATTTTGATCAAATCGAAGGGCTACGCGGCATATCTGCAGGTCACGTTATATTTCATTGCTACTAGATGCCGCTTGTTTTAGAATTCGGTGTTTAAACTATGTATATATGTATTTTTATGAAATAATATCAAAAGTATTTTTCTTTCTTATAAAACAAGTCAACCCAGTTAAAAATATGAGAATAGTACCTATATAAACGCTTCCTACAATTAGATCATTGCTTCTCACCTGTTGTAAGAACTCCTTATCTGGCACCACCTCCTCCTCCCACAGGTTGCATCCATCCTGCTGGTGGCGGAACACGACGCGCGTCTCCTTCAGGAAGTTCTTCCCGAGCAGGTACAGTTCCAGTCCGCCTCCAGCAGGACACGACACTAACGACTTGCGGCATACTTCCGGAACACCCGGAGGTTGCGCTATACAAGTCATACGTTTATACATACAGACATACGGGCCTTTGTTGTCTGTGGCGTAGTAGAATTCACTGAGACAGTTGCGTTACCACTCGTTGAGAAAAATGTGATGACATTCGGTGCGGTGCGGATAAGGTTTATCGTGTGTGTAAGAAAGGTAAGTCTATACCAGCGATAATTTTACACCAACTGGGGCTAGAAACAATTCAGTTGAGATTCTGGAAATATTATCGACAGTTTTTACTGCATTTTCTTAAACACCAGTGACAACTTTCTACTACTCTTCTATATCTTAAACTAATTACAGTAATTGGAAATAGATGACATACTATTAAATTGTTCTATAAATTCTTGACATACATTAAATTAATGACAAAGTGTATTATTAGGGTCTTGGATTCATATCCGTATTAGATAATTCTAAAGCTCTAAACACTATTTATACACGAATGAAATAGTATTATGTTGTCCGAACGTATTCTGCAATGAAGAGGGTGGTGATTGATTAATATAATTCCTGTGTTACTCACTGCATATGATTTGCGTTGAGCAGACTTGTAGCGTTTCCCTCTGTCCATCTGCGTTGATGATATCGGTGCGGAACACCATACGACAGCGCGTGGATTTCTTCTTGCCGCGTGAAACGTGTGACGCTCCTCCTCCCCCGCCCGACCCTAGAGACTCGCCGAACCTGTGCTCCACGTCTACGTTCCTTTCCTATGGCAAAAATATCACCATGGATACTTGGAAACCGGTAGATACATCAATAGACTGTAAAACTTCTAAACGGATTGGGATGGTAAGACCGACTGCCACCAATGGCGCAAAGACATATGATGAATGCCGTTCGCTAGATGTTTAAGAACATTTCGATAACATCATCGATACAGAGAGTTACATAAAATTACAATTTTACTTTACATAAAAACACAATAAATACTAGACGCTGATCGTGAGATTACAAACTAGGTACAAAATTTAAATGTCTAACATGTACGTTTGGATGAATTTATTACGTTCGGATAACCCAAAGAGCAGCTGATCTACATAAAACTTATTTTTTGCTGATTTTGATACAGACAAGCAGTTATAATATCATATGTAAAAACTAATAGCAAAAACAGTGCTTAAGTAAGTCTTGACTGGCGCAATAATTCATAACTAACGGCCCGGTATCGTACTGGTAACGAAGTTTACATGCAGATCCTTATTGCGATTTTGTTTTTGAAGAGTTCCGGAATGATAGAGGATTGTAATAATAAATGTAGTTTTAATCGGTCTATTCAATTTACATTGCAAGCGAACAATCGAAACTCTCCTATTTATAATATAAGCACAGATTATATATATATATATATATATATATATATATATATATATATATATATATATATATATATATATATATATATATATATATATATATACAAATATATGTTGGTGGTGGAAAATATTTGATGCTTAATTACTTTGTCTATTGTTAATTGAGAGTCAATTTTACATATGTCATAAAGTATCCTCTAGTAAATAATAATTTCTAAAGCTTGATAAATATGCACTATAGTGGGTGCATCGACCTGATAGCGCGCTCGCGGCCGCCGCGCTTCGTTCCGTCAAAGATTATTTAATTTATTGCGAGTCACACTACAATAATTATGTGTAGGTACATCGATATATTATGTGATACCTGGTCTTTTCAATAGTAACAGTATTTCAAAAATTAAATAAACCAAGGAATTTATAACAAGTCTTAGTTATGTATCAGTATTTGTTCGTATACTATATATAGATGTAAACTTTCCTAATAAAATACAAAAAGAATAATCCTAATCGCTTCTTCTTCCTTCGCAAAATACCTATAAGACAGCTGTAACAGTGTTTTTTTTTTTACAAAGTGGTACCTGATGTATTAATTTACTTAATAGCTGGAGTTGCCGTGGGGAAGTCCATTACAATAATTACTCTTAAAGATGTGCCATGTAAGGCTGCCATTTTAAAATCTGTAAGTTAGCCTTGTTCTAATTAATAACAACTAAATACCAGAATTTTCGAGTGTAAAAACAGGATATAGTTATCAGTCGGTCACTAACCGTTTTAAATTCAAAATCAGAACTTATGGCAATTCTAGACAATATGCATGCTACCAGTATCCTATTATGCACTGCCGGCTAGGTCTAAAGTAGGCAATAAACTTCGCTCAGCCACTGAGTGCACAGTGCATACATATTTTGTTTTGACCTCATTAACATCACTGTTATAGTGCAGTAGGTATATAATGGGCTAATTTATTGGACTTTGTCTAAAAGGAGAATTCACTCTGTGGTCGGCAATGCATAATCTAGTGTGTGTTAATGTTTGTTTAAATAAAAAAAGGAGAAAGAAGCTATATATGAGTTACCTACAAGGCTTCTTCCATTGGAAAATATAAATTAAAAAGAACCGCTTTTACATATCAATAAAAAGATAACGAACTTGATCCAAAGTTGGAACAACTTTGGTATGCATATACTTTACTATAAATTTACTCGTATTATGATTTTATTATTGCTGCTCGAGTGATAGGTATCGATAATATAAAATACGTACGTTTATGAAATCAGAAATGTCCGAAAAGCTCAATATAAAGAGACTGATACTGGAAACAAAAATACAACGCTTGGCCAGAAATAGGTCAAGCATTAGGTCAACTGGGTCATAAAGAATCTAATCAGCTGACGACTATTTTAAATGTTACAGAAATTGTGATTACTATATTGTTTATATATTATATAGAAATTACGACGCGTACCTACGGTTTTAAGCAACGATTTTCGGTTATATTTCGTTTAATTTTTTGATGCTTATCATTTGAATAATTTTGTGACATTTGAATATAAGCATTTTTCACATTGTGACGAATCAGTGGCCGAAAACACTTTATACAGCTTCTGTCATTAATCTAATTGGTGGGTGTACCACCAGTTTTGTGCATAATTAACGATTATTCATTGTTCGTAAATATAAACGGCTGTTATTGAGAAGAACCGAAGGCATAGAGGTAAACCGTGGAATACGCGCTTATTGCGCATGCGTAATTAGAGACACAGTACCGCATTCTTGTTTCTCTTTTTAACCTAGGACCAGGGGCGCGACCGCTCAACTCTCTTGCCATTATTTTAGCCATAGGATACGATGTGATAGCAGTGTTCCCCTTTTACGTCCCCACTGCAGGGGCTCAGGCCTTTCTTATGGATGGTTAAGGAGGATGGGCCATGACCCTCCACACTGGCCCAATGCGGATTGGAGGGTATTAACGACTGCAAATGCAGCCGGGACCAAAACGTGCCTTCCGAAGCACGGAGACGCTCAAAATAATAATTTTTTGGTCACCCATCCTGTGACCGACCCTTGTGAAAGTTGCTTAACGACATCGTTCGCGGGCCGCGGCGCTTATCCACTACGCCACCGAACTACTCCAATTAGTAATTTATCCCAAAGGAGAATGGGCAGAAGTCGGCTAAAATTACGCAAAATTGCGCACTACGCATATATTTATCAAAAATTTTCTCTTTAATTATAATTCATTCTATACATATAGTATTTTAAAATTATGCGACATTTAAAATTAACTCAATTGAAGCAATTGCTAAGTATAACTACGACTATCAACTAAGTTTCAAGTTATTAATCGACTTGCAAAATAAAGTATTTTAACATCGATGTTGTTCAGGTATTATATTGGTTAAGGCTTTTTAAAATCGGCCCAGTAGTTTTTGAGTTTATCCTTTACGATAAAAAAGCAAAGCTTTCTTTTTTATAACATAGGTATGTACTTTTTCACAGTTAAATATTTCTATCTGATAGTCATCAATTATTTGAAATAAATAATTAATTTTATTGCTCTTATATACGTTATATTATAACGACATAACCTCAAAATCCTTGTTAAATATTAAGATATTCTCCAACTCCGACATAAATTTAATAATTATTTAAGATACGAGTGCGGAAAGTAAGGTTTTACAAATAAGGACCAAATTGAAAACACGAGCGTAGCGAGGGTTTCATTGGCACGAATTCGAAAAACCTTTTACGCTCAAGTTTCTTACAAAATTTTTCAATGCTTTTTGCGAGGAAATAAAACAAATATATAGGTTAATAAAACTAAGTATGTATTAAAGGTAAAAATTATTTGTTAAAATTAAACGTGATATTTGAACATGTTTTCGTGTCATACATTTTTATTTGAAAATATTCGTTCTAGGCTCCTTGAAATACTTTTCCCTCTAAAGTTTGACATATTTTCATCAATTTTTTTTTTAATTTCTTTGGTGCTCGGCCAAAAAAATTAAAAAAATACTTTTAAGCACGTGTGCAGTAAAGGATTTCAGTACATTTTTATTTAACACGTATTTAAAGACTCACTTTCGGTGTTTACAATGGATTAAAAAAATAGCGCTTTATGAGCAACTGCATTGAAAAATGATTTTTTTCCTACTCATTCTAATAATAATTATCTATCGTTTACCTTTAGTTTCAACAAGGTGCATAGTTACGCAAAAGTAGCCGAATTCTCATAGTACCTAAATTGCCCATTCTCCTTTATCTTCCAAACAACATGTCAAAGTAGCACCATTAAACGAAATATCATTATAACATCGCTAAGATGTATGGCTAGAATCAAGACAAGAGTTAGACGGTCGCTCTGCAGCTAGAACCTTGGCTTTCTGTTCTATCTAAAATACTTCTATGACCGAGGGCTTATTACGAAAACAAAATCGTGACAAACGGTTGATTCTAAACCTTATTCATAATGTTGAAAAGGGCTACGTATATCGTCCGTTGCCTATCTTTTCATGAGGGTAGAAAAGTATCTCACTCACCTTGAGTATTCCGACGCAGTCACACGTCACTTGCCAATTTTTTTGCGGTTCTAGATCTATTTCTATAACTACGGTGCCATCCTCCTTGCGCTCCTTACAGGGCGTAGAGTTCTTCCCTGAGACGCGGCACGCCTGATAAAACATATGTGGCGCTACGCGACCCGTGTCTGTGCCGATGAATACCTGAGTGATCAAACAATAGGAATATGGTAAGCAGAACTCTTTATTTCAATAATTTAAATGATTTTTTTAATTAAAAAGAATTCATTTCAATAGAAACCTTTCAGTGGTCTTGACGAAGAAACGGAAAGATAATTTGACACAATTACAAAAATTGAAGTTTATTCCCAGATAGCCATTTAAACTTGTTTCTGACATGCAACAAGTTTGATACATCAAAAAAGAAGACTTGCTTCAAGTTTGCCATGACAACTGCAGCAACTTGCAGCAAGTCTAAATAAAATTATCTAGTTTCAGTGTGACAAACCTGGACTACCTTTGATGCAGCAATTTAGAATCATAGAAAAATCAAACTTGCCCCAAGTAAGCATGCTATCTGGGTTAGAATAAATCACCATGTAAAAGACACATTGCAGTTGATGGATACGTTACGGAGACTTCTCGAAGGCGGGACAACGACTAATGAAAGTCAATGTCAATAGCGCAGTCGTTATAGTATGCTATAGTAATGTTATACTATACTATTGCATGTGTTAGAAAGATCTTCCGGAAAAAGCATATTGGTCTATCGACTATTAAAAATAGTTCTCTGAATGCCGGCATTCTGACTCATTAGTTATTCAATCAGTAGTATGCAATAACGTGAAGAAGTTAATTCAAAATTGTCTTCAAGAGCGAACGAATTCCACAATCTACGAATTTCTATTATAAAAATTAATAGTTTTGATTTATCTTTGATTGGTTTATTACGATACATAAATTGAGTGATTTAATAAAATGTAAACAATTTTGTATGGCTAACGGTTATTTGTATTGTGGTCTAAGAAATACATTATTATAATCAGTGGCGAATTATTTTTAAGGAAATCTAGGTATTTTCCTAGTGTCGCAATTGTTGACGAAATAGTCCTAGATTCTTTAACAACCAATTTCAAGTAAAGACACCCTTGGCTAGTTCGAATATAAAAACACACGGAACTGATAAAAAACTAAGTGTGCAGGATATAAAAACAAGCCAAAATGAACAGTTTTTCGTTCTATAACCAAGAGGCACTGGCTATGGCCACGTTGACCTGTAATCCGCCACTGATTATAAAATTGCCTGGAGTAATGTCGATGTAATGTTATCGCACCTGTAGCACAGCTGGCTTATCGTATCCTACTAATTTAACTATTGGGAACCCATTCCCGGAGTTGTCTTTGACAGCGCCTCGGCTGCCTTCAGTCTGATATCTGGAAATAAATATATGTAATTTTTATTATACTTGATCCATTTCGCATTGACAAGGCTATACTGACAAATATTCTTTTAATTATTTTTTTGATTTTTTAAGCATTATTCATTAAGAATATGTCATTTTTATTCATTAAATTCAAAAATTACATTTTAGGTTCAAGTTAAAGAATGTTACTTAGTCTCAAAAATTAAAAAAAAATTAAAGTATCAAATAAAGAATCGTGTTGGCTACGATTGTGTACCAAATTCACAAAATCACACCAAAATAAAAAATAAAAACACAATTTATTTTTTATCACTAAAGGTACTGGTTAAGGATAACGTAGTCTGCTAGTATATATTTAATAATAAGGGTATTTATTTTTTATTCTATTATAAATTTGTGCCTCTTCAAAAGTTATCATAGATATTAGTATTTTTTATAGTAATTATGACAAAGGAGTCAGTTGCAGAAGTTGATGTTGACATTGTACCTCGCTCTGTGCTGCGTCTCAGGCTGGCACAATATTTGTAACTCCACAGAACCATCTCTGGAGCGGTTGGTTAGTGGTGCCGCCAATCCCGGCGGGCCAGAGTGCGACATTGCCGCAAGCGCTCTCCGCCTCGCTAAAGCTTGCGCCAATTTACCCCCATATTTCCCCCCTAATTTTCCTCCTAATTTGCCCCCCATCTTGCCTCCCGCACCGGAGAGCTTGGCCCCACCCGCGTATTTGTTCGCCAGTTTGCCCCCGCCTAGCTTACCGCAAGATCTATAAGGATCTTGGAAGCGCTTTCCCGGAGTCTCACTGATACTAGGACTAGATATACTGCAACTTGCTCTTGCTCTGCAACAGAGAAAAAAATTAAATGCAATATCTCGATAAATAATGTATAAATCTCCAAATAATCATTTTTGTTAATAGGTTGTGCAAGTGTATTGTTAGCCACGCGCAGCATGCATGGATTGAAATGGACAAAATGCACAAACAGTTATTATATTTTGAACAAACAAGCTAATAGGCACGTCGATAAATTTATGTAGCACACTGAATTACCGGGTATCACCAAAGCAAACATCTGAGTAATGTTTTGATGAACGAATCGTATCAATATGGTATTCAGTAATCATTTTTTGGACGACTTCGTAGCGGAAATAAATAAATAAAAACTAAATATGTATGATAATCATAATATATTTCTTTGTTGTCTGGTAATTAAAAGGAACAACGAGAAATTAAGTGAGGACAACATACACGGGCGTAGAAAGAATCGACGTCGGTGTGAGGTGGTCCGCCGAGGCATCAAGAGGCGCGATCACACTTGCGGTCGCTGTGGTGAGAGCGGGGACGGCAACGAGCGCGGGCGCGGGCACTGCCGTAGGTACCGGCGCTGGAGTAGGTGCGCACGTGGCCGGTGGCGGGAAAGGATACGCGTCATTAGCGTCGTCGCACTCAATCTTAACAGCTGACTCGCTCTCGCCTCGACGCCGTTTCAAGTCTGCATTATCCCAGTCCTCCAACGTGTCTGATGATCTGTACACACGAGGTGCTTTAAAATTGGTCATTGGAGGTCATTGGTGGTCATTAAATGAACCATGGACTGGGTCGTGTATTGTTGTCCAATCCGTATATGAAACTGCTGCAACGGCTTGCGAAATAAATTCTCAGCTGATATACTTATTCTAAAAGACATGTGTTATACCTACCTACATGTCGTGTGTCTCTCTTTAATAAGTCATATTTTAAATTCGTATATTATGTGATATATAAGTACCATTACAATCACTTACTATTTCATTAATGTTGAAATGAAGCAAAGATCGTTATTTAAAAAAAATATGATTTACAATACTAAACGAAAACTCATTAAAAGATCAATCTACAGTGAATCACTATCAAATCCACATTTTAGATTCCTATTAAAAAAGACATGAATGAGTTTAAATTCAGATAAGCGTACAGAATTCAATAAAAGCCGGCTTATTTTGCATGACAAATCCGCTAAGCTAAAAAGTGAACGCACGATGCGTGGCGTGATAAAATAGATAAGAAACAATAATGCTCGGATCTCCGCGTTATCTCTTATCTGTCTGTAACCGTTATCGGACGCGCAGTGCGCGTGCGCATGCCAAACAGGCAGCTTATGTATGACCATACGTACCCAGGGCTATCCAATGTTTAACAAAATTGATATTGTCTAATGTATTTGTTCTCCAAATTAAGTTTATGTGTAAGAAGTTTTTTTATTACGAAAATTATGTTTAAAACTGTAAAAAAACTTTGAACATGCATTTTGAAAATAACATCAAAGAGTAGTTATAAAGTAATTTTGTAAAAAATGTATAAAGCATGTTTATTTAAAAATTATTAGAAAAATATAAAAGGTAGACTATGTTCCTTCTCCTAGTTACTAAAGAGTCTCCTAGTTACTTAGTCCTAGTTACTAAAGAAATATGTTATAATTAACGTACATTAAAACTGGTAACCCTAATCAATCATTATATTTGTTCATATGACGCACCATGCAAGGTCGCTGCTGAGAAGCCGCGCACAAATATAATATCCTTCCAAATATATGGCAACATTTGTACACATAACTATCTCAGCACACAAATAAATGCTTTATAAAAAACGGGCTGCTTTATTAAAACTTTAAGTTTTCCTTAACAGTTTTAAAGAAAAAAAAATGGTTTCTATTGAAGATGTACCGAGTAGCAGTTAATCGGTGTTATTACTTAGAGCATTCGTTTAATACTCCGAGTGTTACATAGTTCATATGCTTAGTATACAAAGTATCAAATAATTATGAGTGTTCTAAAATAATATTTTAACATCTAGTCCTCATTGCGGATAAGGCTTAGCCGTGACAATAATTTTGGAACTATTTTTATCAGTGGTGCGATTAGCAGTTTCATCCAGTGTGAAATTGTAGTGTTACCCTAATAGTGAAATAATTTCGCACATTTCGGGCGAAATAGAGGTCAACGACTTAAGAATAATAAATGAGTTATTAAATTATTGAAAGTAAGTGATATTGTAAATATTAATATTTCTGCCAACGCTCCGAGCGTCAACGCTTTTAAACTTGTTTTACTAATTTTGATTTTTATAGATAACCCTTGATAACCCTTATTCTGATGATTTATGAACATTTAATTTTATAAAAACTGAAAATATGGTCAAGTATTTTGTGATAACAGACACGAAAATATCACTACATTGAAAAAATATATAAAGTCTTTTTACTATATAACTGTTCTGTACATTACCAAAATCTATTTTCACACATTTCCTATAAATTGAAGCGAATTAGTGCGAACAAACAACGTACCACATCTGAGCATAAAAAAAATTAAACTAGTGACTTGCCCGACTCGATGCGGTTACTATTTATATATACTTTAATCTCCCTCCATGATGTCCTCCAACGTTTTCATTTATAATACTTCGGCTTATGCATTTTACAAAACCATTGTCATAAATTCAGAAGGTAAATATTGGGATTATTGTGCTGAATCCGACTTGAAACATCCTCGATAATTAATATGTAACGAGATTTGAATTAGGGGTCGGTGCATATCTTCTGGTGCGCCTCGTATCGACAGTTATAGAACATCTGAGCTTATAAATATATGATAGGATATCCTACTTTACACATTCGAAATAAGATCCGTCGCGTACTATTGTAGACTTCGGTGATTTACTCAGAGAATTAAACCATATAGACTATTGCATAGTTCTTCGAAGCATACTTCTGTAGACGCTCAAAAAAATCTTCCCTCTTTGCACTGATCATTAAACTGACCGATGAATCAGTTCAATAATAAAAAATATTTAAGATTATATTATTTTACTCACCATAGGTCGACACTGTAATGTCGAGTAATATCAAGAGTTAAACAATTCGTATAAGTGCACATGAAGTCTAATAATGTTATTGCCTACGTTAGAATATTCTTGGCGTAAATAACCTACAGGTAGATAAATACAGTATTGTATGTATGATAACAGTTTATTTTCATATATCAATAAACTTTAGCATAAACAAGTTGTACATAACATTCAGCACGGCGATGACGATGAGTGACTCCAAAGCACATCGACTGTTCAGCAAATTATCAGTTCGCACATTCCTCGCGACGATATGGTTAGCACATATAGGTATATTCATGCACACAATACAAGCAGGGTCCAATTAGCGATCGCTGTAAGATACGAAATATATGAACAATAATAGATAATACATCATTCAAGTGTGTGTATTTATTAGAAGTGAACCAATGATCTCATCGATTGTCCATCTGCTTAAATTCGGACACTACTTATAATCGTTGTAGCGATTTAAGTTGGTCCATCTTTAGGTCTTCAATAATTGTTGAGTGAAAGATGGGACAACTTGAATTGTTACTAGTTACAAAGTTATCACCCACAAGCTAAAATTGACATAAAACTCACCTGTTTACAGGGTCGGGACCCAAACCGCTATCATTACTATTTTCGCACGGCTCAGGAGGGCGGAGGGCATGTGTGTACGCGTAATGCGCTAGTTTCCCGAACTTGCCCAAGTGGTGGGCCATTTTGCCCGTCGGGAGCAGTTTCCCCGGATGGACCAGCTTGCCCTGTAGCTTGCCCGCGTGCAGTATTTTGCCGGCGTGTGTCGTTTTCCCCGGGTGCGCACGCTTATGTGGCGCCCTTATTACTTTTCTGTGGACACGCGCAGTCATCGTGGATGACGTGGACGTCGTCATTTTCATGGCTGTTGACAAACGGAAAAAGGAATGATAATTTTATGAAATCTGAATATGAAAGCTGAATAGCAGCACGTTTATATATACTATTACCACACATATAGTGTATGTAATTTTAGATGTCCCGGTGTTATCTTCGGGAAACCGGGACAAACATCCGGAAAACGGGTCGGTTGCGTCTTGTTCAAAACGGGAAACTGGCCACGTTAGGTATATATCAAATAATTTCATATTTGTATTCGATACGAATTCGATTTCCTTTACACGAATTTTCATGCATCGGTTATAATATATTTCGTGTTGGATTACAAACATCTGAGTATATTATTACCACTAATCACTATCAGATTCCTAGTACAATTAAAATAATTTGTTAATTTAGTAAATAAAAAAAAAAAAAACAAAAAATGGTAAGAAGTCATACCTACCTACGCTTTATTATTTGAAGATGGAAACTCTATTGACAATATTACACATACATTTATGTTATAATAAAATATGAATAGCTTCAACTCTAACAACACTCGACACATAACTCGTAATAAAATTAATGTCTCGTAGACATGATATAACATCGACAATACGGCAACGGCTGTTTTGGGTCATATGTTAAGTTAAAGTCATAGCAAAAGCGACAGCTAAGCTTAAGCTATGATAATAATTTTTCCCTATGAATGTACAGTATGTATGTAATCGAATCGAAAAAGGATAATGTACAATCAACAGCACTTAAGTTCAGTTATACAAATTGCTAAACACTTATGCGTTTAGGTAGAGTTTAATTTCAGTTGAGGACGTTGAGTTTTCTTATATTATTTTGACTTTAGAGTGCAATGATTGGGCTAATAATTGTATTGTAAAGCGTCATTACAATATAATCCATTGACCATAAGACCATTATCATTGATTAAAACGTAAGATTATTTTATAGCTATCGCTTTGAATACGAGTTTGAGTTAGGCGGTACGGGGCTTGATTAAGATTTAATGGGCTCGGCAACAGATTGCTATCTTACTTTACGACCGATCACAGTAAACACCGAATCGTAAAACTATTCGCTCTACGAATCTACAAGCAGTATCAATTCGGGTTTAGTCAAAATCAATAACGTTTCATCGACGGAAATAGATTTATCATACAGTAAAATTGTGAAGTCAGTGTGTTAATATAATATGTGTGGAATACGGTAAATTATATTTACGTCTTTTTTCTCTCTCTTTCTCTCTCACTACACCTTGTTCACTGCTATTTATATAAACATAATGCTAATAACTATTAAAATAAAAATGATATGACCAGTTTTAATACTTGAATATGATTTTTTAAAGTTTTCTTCGTAAATGTAGAACACATTCGACACCATGTGACCATGGGAAATTTGTGTACTAATGTCAATTTTTTCCTGTATTTAGTAAACATTCCCTAAAAAAGTAACGGATGTTTTATGGTTGGTCTAAAAACTTGATTTCACATGATTGAAATTTAGTTGCGATTTGTTTGTAATTTAAATGAAAAAAAAAACTAAAAAATGTAAACATTAAAAGTGCGCGTAAAGATGATGTACCCTGGTCCGGAACTACGATTTTCTAGATAATTAATCGGGGCAGAAACTTCGTATGGCACTCTTTTTTTACCTTACCCTTCATTTAAATTTTCTATGATATGAGTGAAATCATAATATTTAAATCCTATGATTTCACTCATAATAATAAAACAAAACAAAAGGAAGATAGCCTTAATCTTCACAAGTGGTTGTAATCAGTCTAAACAATTTCAACTTTATAATTATCAAAACAAAAATAAGAGACTTATGTACTTATGTAGTTTGTATTGACTTGTCTTATCATATATAAAATACATATAACAATTGTACTTATTATTTCTATATGCATTATCTACCTGCACTTTCGTCATTATACACGTTAATGGGCCCGGACCGAATTCGGTCCGTCTGTTACCAACACAGGCTTCAAGAAGCGTGCGACTTAATTGCCTTTTTGACTGGAAAGCGACTCCATAGTCAGTCCTGTCCACATAGGCAAACTAGGCAACTGCCTAGAGCGCTCGCATTTGGGAGGCGACACGGCATGGCAAACAGGTATTCGCTCTGATTAGGTGTTTCGAGCTTAAAATGCAGAACCTTAACCAATTACTTATGCGGTATTCAAAAATGCAACATTTTCAGTACCTAAGGAGTTTCTTATGTCATTGGCAAAATTGCATTCTACCTACATTATTTATTTTTTTTAATTGTTACACAAGACAGAATAACAGCAATATACATAATCAAGCAACAAAAAAAAAAGTAAGTAATCAGATGTAGGCTGCAATTCCACACATATGTGTAAACAACATGCATAATCATAGCAACAACATTAACAAACAAATGCGTTAAATTACAGTTTAAATAGCGCTCAACGTCGCTGTTTTTTTAAAAAGTACTTCCAACTACTAATAGGTGAATGACAGATGTCAGGCTCACCATTAAGTCGATCCAACAACGCGTTATACTCACGGCACATTCTGTGTATGGGGTTATGGAAGGAAACATTATTATTAAGAAATGGCACTGAGAAGAGACATTCTTAGTTTTATTTCGTTGTGATTTCTTTATGGGCGTCGTTCCAACGTTTTCCTAGGACACCAAGTCCAGTGTTTTGCCTAGGGGGCACCAAGTGCCAGTGTTTTGCCTAGGGCGCGAAGTTCCAGTGTTTTGCCTAGGGCCAAGTTTTATTAAGCCGGCGCTGTTCATTGCCAATAAGGTTTTTTTTAATGGATTTTTCTGTATTAATTTAAACAGTGAGAAAGAAAGCAGCACTTGCCGAGATTCATGCATGTTTTTCTCAGTACAAGATCTTCCGATATACGTAGACTTACGAGCTGATGGCATATATTCTGGACTTTTACAAATAATTGTAATTAGCTTAGACTGGATAAAATATATTAAATATTAAATTTTTGAAACTCGAACCATTTTTTCTATAATAATGACAATAGAGTGGTTCGCACATTGGTTCCAAGGTGTCGCCATCTCATCCCGGTCGGGTGAATAAAGAAAATGAACTTTTCTATTTTGTCTCGGGTCTGGGTGTTATGATACCTTTGTTGTTTCAGCTACTCATTTTGGAGTCATAGCAATATATGATTATACATATTATATATAAACATAAAAACATACATACAAATACATATTAAAACCACGCATATATAAGTTAAATATACTGTACAACTTTTACTATGGGAGCATCACTGAATTCACAAAAAAATTATCAGCTGTTTCATACAAAATTGTAATAACTACAATCGCCAACAGTATGAAACAGCTGATTATTTTTTTAGTCAATTCAGTATTGCTGCCATAGTAAAAATTGTTCAGTATATTGAATTTATCCATCCCACGAAGTTCTGGCACATAATAAAATTACACTTTATACGAGGGTCAAACTGAAAGTTCTTAGAACTGGCCACTTATGAACAATATAATAAAAAAATAATTCTAAAATTTGAAAATATAACTCTTTGCCAATATTACTGAGTATATATTTCATTCATTTGTCATTTGTTTTACGATTTGGCGGCAAATTGAAAATTGTCTGTGTCACGTCATCATGAATTTAACACGAGAAAATTTTCGTGCAATGATTTTTTATGACTTTCGATGTCATTTAAGTCAACAAGAAAGTTATGATAGACTACGATTGGCCTTTCACGATGAAGCCCCATCTCGTGCGACTGTTTACAACTGGTTTAATGAGTTTAAACGTGGTCGCACTAATCTCACTGATGATTTACGTGAGGGACGGCCTTCTACGGCGACGACTGAAGATAACATCTGTGTTGTGCGGCGTATGATAGAGACTGACAAAAGAGTGACCTATCAACAGATTCGGACAAGCTTAGGCATCGGTATGAGTCAAGTGCACAAAATCCTCCACGAACATTTAGCGGTCAGGAAGCTTTGCGCCCGGTGGATACCTCATAATTTGACTGAGGCTCAAAAACTCCATCGTGTGGATTGGTGTCGTAAAATGATTGAAAGATTTAACGGAGGTGACTCAAATGCTGTGTTCGACATACTAACAGGTGACGAAAGCTGGATTTACTGTTATGATCCTAAAACCAAAAGACAATCTGCTCAGTGGGTGTTTCCTTTCGAGGAGTTGCCAACTAAAGTGAAGAGAGATCGAAGTGCGGGAAAAAAAATGGTGGCCTCGTTCTTTGGAAGGATAGGTCATTTTGCAACAATTGTGTTAGAGGATCAAAAAACAGTTTCTGCAGAATGGTACACTACCAATTGTTTGCCACTTGTCTTGGAAAAAGTTCGAGAGAAACGACCTCGCAGTAGGATCCTCCTTCACCACGACAACGCCTCGTCGCACACCGCCAAGCGAACGATCGACTATTTGGCGACATCAAACGTTGAATTACTGGGTCACCCGCCGTATAGACCCGACCTCGCGCCTTGTGATTTTTATTTATTTCCAAAAATTAAAGAAAAACTTAAAGGAAAGCGGTTTATGAATGCTGAAGAAGCGGTGGCTGCGTATCGCGATGCCATTGAAGAGACCCCTAAGGACGAGTGGGCAAAGTGCTTTTCCCAGTGGTTCCAACGCATGCAGCGGTGTATTGACGTGAATGGACAATATTTTGAAAAGATATAATAAAACTAATAACTGGCTAATGTAATCAGTTTTTGATTTTCTAAGAACTTTCAGTTTGACCCTCGTATAGGTAAAGAGATTAATAGATTGGCAAGGGTTGGGCGCTGGAACCTGGATCATTATCCATTTTCCCCATTCAATTTGATATGATTCCATTCATAAGGAGGTCCTGTATCCTAGCAGTAAAAGCCTAATGAAGTACACTATTACATTTTATTTTAGATATAATTAAAAGTATTTGCTTAAAAGGGCACCAACTGCTTAGAGGTCTGTCTATATCTTTATACAATTATAGCTTTCCGCCAGCGACTTCTCCCATGTGATCCCTAGGGAACTTTTTATTTGGG